CTCCCATGCAATAGGGATAGTTTTTATTTCCGCCGTCACGGAAGCCAGGCAGAGTTGAGGGGAGGGGAAGGGTTGAATCGGTAATAATAATAATAACAATAATAATAATAATAGTAATAGTAATAATAATAGTAATAATAATAATAATAATAATAATAATAATAATAATAATAATAATAATAATAATAATAATAATAATAATAATAATAATAATAATAATAATAATAATAATAATAATAATAATAATAATAATAATAATAATAATAATAATAATAATAATAATAATAATAATAATAATAATAATAATAATAATAATAATAATAATAATAATAATAATAATAGTAATAGTAATAGTAATAGTAATAATAATGACATTTTATCTGCGGGATTCGTTCTCCTTCACTGTACAGATAAGAATATATTACATTTAGTCTATTGCTACATATAATGCCGGATCCTCGCCATGCGCAATGGTGACGTTTTATTAACCAGTTAGCTGTGGCGCCTTTTTTTCGAAGCGCGCACCTATATGTGTCGCGAGAATCGAGCGATGTCGAGTATACTCGTCAAGAGTAAGTTTCGCTGTTAAGATATTGGATGAAAAAGACGGTTTCATTTTATAAAATTACTTTTATTACTAACATTTATTTATTCACTTAACATTAACATATACCGCATGCCTCAAAATATTCTAAATATCTTGAAATTTGAGAATATGTTTTTGTTTCCACTAAAATATTGCCGTTTCTCCATGACGAGTTTACTCGTCAAACACAGCTAATTCGTTAACATGCGGGCAAGAAGGTCTTATATATATATGTGTATATATATATATATATATATAATTAATATTATATTAATATAATAATTAATTAGTATGTTAATTATTATATATATACGTTACTTAATTAACGTGACGGCTTGCGTGACAATATTTGGCTTCGTGAGAAAAAGATTGTTAGTAGCTGGTCGAGCCACGGATGGAAAATGAAATTGGAAATTGGCCGATGTGCATTGCGTTATAAAAGTGAGAGGATACAATTTATTTAGAGCTACGAATGGAAAATGAAATTGGAAATTGGCAGACGTGTGCATTGCGTTATAAAAGTGAGAACATACAATTTATTTAGAGCTACGAATGGAAAATGAAATTGGAAATTGGCCGATGTGCATTGCGTTATAAAAGTGAGAAGACACAATTTATTTAGTGCTACGAATGGAAAATGAATGGAAATTGACCGATGTGGATTGCATTATAAAAGTGAGAAGATACAATGTATTTAGATTTCGTACAGTTTTAATTAATAGTACGTTTGTGTCCCAGTAACGTAATTTATTCAATCATTTCCGCTGAAAGCGCGTTTATCATTTTGATAATTGAAAAATGTGCATTCGGTGTCGATAGATACGACCATCGATGTCATTAATATCCTATTATTGGGCTATTATTTCTCTATTCCGTGTATTCGACTACGCTCGTCGTCGTAAAGACAAATTTACCCTAGTACATATGGACAGTGTGTTCTGATAATTACAATATTACCATAGCCTGGTAATCTTTCCACGAACCGACGCTGCTTCGATATTGACACAATCGAGAATACCAGTGTAGTCGTGATTGTCAAACAGTTTTGGATTTTTCAGTTTGCAAGCACTAAAACGTAGAAGGATTTCTCGTGTCCTTGCAAGGATTCGGGAAACATTTCTGATCGAGCAAATTCCAATTTTCGGATCGTGTCGCTTTCGTCTAGCCTTTGGTTTCCATCGACGAGCATATTCGCGTATCTCGAGGTGAAGAAGCGACAAATGAGCCGTTTATTTTGAAAGTGGCATAAGTCGCTTTACCGTAATGAAAAGTGGTGATTTTTTAATGTTTATACGAAATTATCTATACTGAGAAAAATATCAGTATCCTGAGATAACAAATACAAGTAAATCTTCTCGAAAGTTAGCATCCATATTTTTAAACGTGTTAAAACGCAAACCCTTAAATATATCGACTTAAAAACAAAGTGACTTATGCCACTTTCAAAATAAACGGCTCATATGTACATCTTGCCCGATGCCATTTTTTTTTACTTTTAACTCTTTGCACTCGAGTGGCGACTCTGAGGCACCACTGAGATTGTTGTATCACGTTCCAAGATCATTTTTATATTATCAATGTTTAGATTTTTTGAAGATCATTAAAAGCGTAACTGTTGTATGAATCGCGAGACTCAGTTTCATGTACATAAAATGCACTTTGTTATATAAAATGGAAATACTGTAAGGCAAAAAAATTGTTTTAGATTCACAGTTGAAGCGGCTTTGAGTGCAAAGAGTTAATTCGTTACACATTTCGTTCGTTTAATTGAAATCTAGTAAGTTCAATGAAATGATTACAGTAAATTCTCTCTAGAAGGCTTGAACCTTG